TGCCATGCTTGGATCTTAGGGTGCCTAGGGTGTCCTCTCTGAGCTACGTTTCTGGCTTATTATTTGGATTTTAGGGTATTGTATGCATCAGGCTGGGCCCTGCTACTTTGAAACATAAGGGGTTGTGATGCCTCAGCTTGGTGGCCTAACAAAGCTATCAAGGGAATAATCACAAATATCTCCTGTGATTTCAGAAAATGTATCTCAGGAGATTTTAAGCCTGGAGTATTTTATATTTCAGAGGCCAAAACCCATATCAGACCAATTAAATGAACATAGATCTTGGATTTCTCTCATTTCCAAAGTTATTTCAAAAAGAAAATTTCAGCCAGGTTGAGAGCTACCAACCCCCCACCCTCACTGAATTGATAACTAAGACCTGGAGGGGGAAAGTGACAATTTAAGCTCATATGGTTTCTGTGTAACAAAACCACAAGATGAATATCTCCTACATGGCAGCAGTTTCGTTAAGTGTGTTATATGACTTAATTCCTTTAGTTAGGGAAGTTTACATACAGTGCTATCAGGAAGAGGGTATCATAGGAGGCCCCTGTGTGGTGCCAGGATGAAGCCACTCCTTTTGTTTCTCTCTGGTGAGAGGTTGTGAGAGAACTTGCAATGCCACACCCAGGTAAGAAACTGTGCTCATCCTTATAACTAATTTGTCCTCAAATTCAGCAGGCCTCTTCCAGAGGGCATGTGTTGTGGAATATTCATTTAGTATATGTTACATTCATTTATGCTGTGGAATTTTGTTTAATAATGCTAACCTGTGTTGCATTCTTTTATGTTGTGTTTGTTTACCTCTATAAAGCTGTGTTACTTTGCCTGTCAAAAATACCTGATTGGTCGAATAAAGAGAAAAATGACCAATAGCTAGGCAGGAGAGAAAAATATGTGGGGCTAGCAGGCAAAGAGAATAAATAGGAAGGGAAAACTAGGCTAAAGAGAAGGGAAGGAGTGAGAAAGTGAGAAGAGGAGGAATATTCCATGGGCCAGCCACACAGCCACATTGCTAGCCATGGAGTAAGAAGGAAAGCGAGATATAAACAATACCATCATCAAATTTGCAGACAAATTGATAATACTACAAAAAATTATCCTGAGATAACCCAGACTCAAAAAAACAAGTGATACTCATAAGTATATGCCAGGTATAAAGTAAAAAGATAACCAGAACAATCCATAGAAAAAGAATATCTAGGTAACAAGGAGGACCCAAAGCAGGACACAAGGATCAACCTGGGAAGGGGATATAGATGAGATCTTCTTGGTAAACTGGGGGTGGTGGACAGTAGAGAGGAGGGGATGGGGGATGAGAATGTAAGGTAATGGGGTGACCTCGTTGGGGGAGGGATGAAGTTGGAGAGCAATGAAAGAGATAGCTTGATAGATGGAGCCATTATCGGGTTATGTAGAAAACTTGTGCTAGGGTAATCCTGAAAAATTCCACAAGGATTATCCCAACGAAGACTCCTAGCAATAGTGCAGAAGGTGCCTGAACTGACCTTCACCTGTAATCAGATTGGTCAATACCCTAACTGTCATCATAGAGCCTTCATCCAGTAACTGACAGAAGCAGATGCAGTCAAGCACCAGGCTGAGCTCCAGGTGTCCAGTTGAAGGGAGGGAAGAGGGATCATATGATCAAGGGGGACAAGGCTATGATGGGGAAACCCACAGGAAGAGCTGACCCAAACTTGTGGGAGCTCTAGACCAACAACTTGGGAGCCTGCATGGATCTGAACAAGCTGGGCACACTGTGTGTATGGCTCAGTCTATTTAGGGCAACCCAAGCAGTAGGATCAGAATCTGCTTTCTTGCAGTGCATTCCCTATGGTGGGGTGCATTGTTTGAACTTGATGCAGGTTGAAGGGGCTTGGTCCTGCTTCACCTTAATGTGCCAGTCTTTGTTGACTCTCCATGGTAGCCTTATCCTTTTAGGAGTGGTGAATGTTTATGGGTCAGTTGGGTGTAGGTGGGGAGGAAATGGGAGAAGTAGGAGGAGGAACTGTGGTTGGTATGTAGGATAAGAAAATAAATAAAACCTTTTCTAAAAGATGAAAGTCCAAAGCCAAAAAAAAAGGTAAAGAGAAACAGAATAATTTAAGTTAGAGAAGCTGGCCAGAAACAAGCTAAGCTAAGGCCACATATTAATAAGTAAGAATAAATCTCTGAATATTTATTTGGGAGATGGGTGGCAGGACCCCGAAGAATAAAAACCAACTACAGGCATGTGCTTTATTGCTGGGACTGTGCTGTACATGTTAATGTACTGTGGGATTGCTTTAGTGGCCACAAATTGAAAGAAATGAAACTCTCATAATCTGGCATCTGAATTAGTGTATCTCTAGCCAGTAGACTACAATGCTTTGTTTACACAGGGGAACAGTAGAGTGAGGGTATGGCTGACATTGCTGTAAGTTTGTCATCACTACTATTAGCATCTGAGTGTGAGGAACATCTTGAAACCTTGGGAATATGATGATGAATGGGAACACTGGCTGAGTTCCAGAAATTCTGACTCAGCATCTCTTATGCACTAGGCTCCTTTGTGGGATAGTGTCACTTGCATAAGCAGCAAGAAACTGGCCTGGAATCAGATGTGAGTTCAAGGCCAGATCCTAACCCTAACTGGCTATGTTATTACAGACAGGTTACTGGCAAATCAGGCTCACATCTCAAACATGGTTGCACCTCATAATCTGACTGTCCATTATGCTATAAAATTACCAAAATCAAGACCAAGAATTAAGACTTCAGGTTTCTGCCAGTAAGTTCAAAGTGAATGTCCTGATGCCTGTGCTGGTGATTGGAGATTATGTACGTGGTGACCAACTCCAGGACTTAAGTCTACATTGCCCAGAACCTTCAGTGCCTGTGCAAGTAAGATAAAAAATGTTTCCAGAGACAAAGGGTAGGAGATTCCACAGTGAATGTGGGCAGATATGGAAGGATCTTAGTGTGCTGTGGATGACAAGAAAATGAGAAAAGCACACTGTGCCCTGGCCTTGTCACTTTCTGCCTTGATTTGCTTTTTGCTCTTTGGCGGGAAGAGACACATGTCTTGGGTAAAGAGCTGCCTGCTTCTTACCATCCCATTTGACATCTAGAATGGAACCAGGAATACCCTAGGTCCCAGGTTATTTGGGAAGATGGAGAAAACTTAATCAGGTGAGGCAGTAGGTCAGGCTTGACCTTCTCATTGAACATCTTATCAGGTATCTTCGTGTAGCCTCTAGAGTGGGACAGATTGAGAAATATAAGTGTTGTGAGGCAGACTAGCTTATGGATTTACCCTCATTCACTAAAAGTGGTAGCAAATAGCATGTTATCTCCTCTCCTCTGTTTCTTAGGCCCACAGTTGGGGTAAACTCACCCCATGAGCATGACAGTCACTTACAGGTTTGCTTCTTCCTTGTTGCTTACAGCATCTTGAACACATTTTGACCTGTTGGAGAATTGAGGATGAGGAGGACAATGCAGTACTCACCAAGCACATACAACACAGTGCCTCCCCCAGACTGATGCTCCTTGTCAGCTTCTGCTCTGAGGAGCTTCACACAGTAGTAGGTGCCAGTGTCAGCAGGTGTGACATTACTGATGCGGATGGAAAAGTCCAAGATGTTTCTCTTTGTAGTATCTGTAACATTCGTGACTCTGGGGAACTTCTCTCCTGTGAAACTATATATGAGGTGCCGACTCTGCCCTGTACCCCTGAACCACTTCACGGGCCCCACAGGCATCAGGGAGGTCACAGAGCAGTTAAGAATGACTGACTCTCCAGCAGCAACAGAAACTGTTTTCTCGGGCTGAATCACCTTCAGCTCCTTTGTAGCTGCTCCTGCTGGAAATATCAGTTAGTGCTCATGATGATGGAAACCCACAGGCTCCTCTAGTTTGTGATCAAATACTGTTTATTACTAGAGCATAGCATGCACATGATCACAGTTCCCCCATCTTGGGTCTCTAACACAAGGATGTAACAGATGCAGAAACTGAATCACAGAGACACTGAGAACTTGGTAGTATTTTGATTGAAGCCCCAATTCCATTTGGAATTTTCTTGCTTCATCCAGTGTCTGTTTTGTTCTCAATTTCTGTGCTTGTGGCATGAGGCATTTTTTCTTTTTCTTTTTTTTTTTGTAGTATGTTTATTTTATTGGAATCACTCATATTTACATATCCATTACCCCATCCCTCACT